TGTTGTTGTGTGGTATCTAAAAATATTATAATGATAATGTTGATGTTTTGGCATTGCCTTCCAACGAAAGGCCATTCCGATTCTGACACGGACTAAGTCTGTTGGTTTACCGGAAGGCGAAGAGATTTGTTGTCAGGAGGTTTTGGGGAAAGTGTGTTTAGTTATTCATGAACGCAGAGGTCGTCTGAGTTTGTTAGAGATTGATGTATGCAGAGGTGGTGATGATACTAGTGATGTTGATCCTGGTCCGTCGATTTCAGAGTTTGGTGTTAGCAAAGAGGAAGTTGATTCGTGAGGATCAGTTGTTATAGATGCAGCAGAATTTTCTAATGTTTTACGAAATGTAATCATCAGTGTAAAAAATAGTGATGTGACTCAAGATGTAATAGTTGATGATAAGGGGAAATGTAGTAAGATAAATAAAATTTTGAGTGGTTTCATAAATAAAATTAATAATTTTTTTCATTAATCATGATAGTGGTTACATTAACATCAAACCATTCTCTCATTTTTGGGGACATTGCATCTAACCAACTACTCCCCATTTGTTAATAAAATACAAGGAATCCTCCTCTAATAGTGACGATCTGGTTGGAACTTAACAAATACATGGAAATCTCTCTGGCAGCTTACTAAATTCTTCATTAATTCGGTAGGGACTGTCGAATATTTGATGTCGTCTATGACGTTGTAGACGGCGTCTTGGTCGTAGTCTTTGAAGCTTATTCTGCCGGAGAAGTAATTGTGTCGTCCAAGGCTTCTGGACCAGGCGATTTCGCCTGTTCTTGAAGGTCCTTTGAGGTAGAGGGAGATTGGGTGGATGGGCCTCTGCTCTGGTTCCTGTTATCAGAGGAGGAGGAGAGTTCTTCATCCGTATATAAATTATTGATATTGTTTTTGTGTATCTCTAATCTAAAGAAGTCATCTTCCCTCCAAACAGAGAGACAGCAATTTTGACATAACTCGTACTGAACGAAATTTCAACTTACAAACAAAATATTATTTTCTGCCCATTTTTTTACTTCTTCATTTAAGAAAGGAAATGAATTAAAGGGGCTAGTATATGGGGGCCTCTCTCTTTTGTAATGATCCCTCGAAAATATTTTTAATTGGGGGTATTTTGTGACGTAATCGGTGGGACATCTTTTATACAAATTCTGCTGATTCTCTTACCTCTGCTAACCCTTCTGTTTAGACACCTTAGCTTTGATATATTTGCCCTCTGCTCCTCGTACACCGGAACAAACTTCGCCGGAGCTGACTGCCGGCTCTCTTTCCACAGCCCTATTTGCCACGTCAAAAAGCAATCTACACACATTTGAGTGAATTGCCCGTAATTCTTGGGATACTCTTCTAAGGAGTACAACATTGTATACCAAATAAATCAACAAAAAAGACAAAAAGAAAAGGAGGGACGAAATAAGGTACCAGAAAGCAACTTCACCACAGTAGCTATCCCACTGCAAAAGGATATTCCTCTATGCCATAAAATATTTTCTGGTACCAAATATATAGCAAAACTGGCCCGCGTGTAAAGACGAACATTCCCCATTCAAAATAATTCAAACGCATTTATTTTCTCGCCTTTGCTTTATGTCTATCATTCTACAAAAATATTTTCTTTACAGCCACGCAAACCACCAGAAGAGCGACACGTGTATAGCACTATCTGGCAAAGGAATCAAAAGTACTGACACCACTCACACCTGGGCCCGGGTGTGACTTCCTTTTTACTACATCCATACATGTGTCCATAAGTACAACAATGGACGGCTCAGATCAGCGGGAGGGGGGGCGCTGGTAATATTAATACAGCGCCCCCCCAGTCACACCACTCACACCATTCATACCAGGTTTTTTAACTAATAGGGAGGCCTTGTACGGCTGGTGTGAGTTCACTATTTACCACTACAAAATGCCTCGCCAAGCCTCTTTCCGTTTTTATGCCAAGAATTTTTTTCTCACTTACCCACAATGCCCATGCCCAAAAGAACAACTCCTAGAACTCCTTCAATCTCTCCTCCAACTAGCCTGTCAGCCATACTACATACTTGTCGCAAGGGAGCTCCATGAAGATGGAAACCCTCACCTTCATGCCATGGTTCAATGCACGAAGAAGATCCAAACCTCAAACCCAAGATTTTTCGATCTCACTGGAACCAACGGAAGGATCTACTATCCAAATATAGAAAAACTCCACTCTCCAACAGCAAGTAGACAGTATATACAGAAAGAGGGCGAGTTCGTCGAATGGGGAGAATTTTCAACTAAGGGGAAAAGTCCTTCAAAAAACGGAGACGAACTCTGGAGGGGCATACTTGGGGAAGCAGAAACGGATGAACAATTCTTTGCTCTATGTAAAGAAAGATGTCCCACAGATTACGTCACAAAATACCCCCAATTAAAAACATTTACGAGGGATCATTACAAAAGAGAAAGGCCCCCATATACCAGCCCATTTAATTCATTTCCTCTCTTAAATGAAGGAGTAAAAAAATGGGCCGAAAATAATATTTTGTTTGTAAGTCGAAATTTCGTTCAGTACGAGTTATGTCAAAATTGCTGTCTCTCCGTTTGGAGGGAAGACAACTTCCTTAGATTAGGGATACAAAAACAATATCAATAATTTATATACTAACGAAGAACTCTCCTCCTCCTCTGATAATAGGAACCAGAGCAGAGGCCCATCCACCCAATCTCCCTCTACCTTGAAGGACCCTCAAGAACAGGCAAAACCGCCTGGGCCAGAAGCCTCGGATGACACAATTACTTCTCCGGCAGAATAAGCTTCAAGGACTACGACCAAGACGCCGTCTACAACGTTATAGACGACATCAAATACTCGACAGTCCCTATCGAATTAATGAAGAATTTAGTAGGCTGCCTGAGAGATTTCCATGTATTTGTTAAGTTCCAACCAGATCTCACTATTAGAGGAGGAATTCCTTGTATTTTATTAACAAATGAGGACAGTAGTTGGTTAGATGCAATGTCCCCAAAAATGAGAGAATGGTTTGATGTTAATGTAACCACTGTCATGATCAATGAAAAATTTTATTAACTTTATTTATGAAACCACTCAAAATTGTATTTACTTACTACATTTCCCTTATCATCAACTATTACATTTTGAGTCACATCACTATTTTTTACACTGATGATTACATTTCGTAAAACATTAGCAAATTCTGCTGCATCCATAACAACTGATCCTCTACGATCAACTTCCTCTTTGCTAACACTAGCCTCTGAAATCGACGGACCAGGATCAACATCACTAGTATCATCACCACCTCTGCGTATATCAATCTCTGACAAACTCAGACGACCTCTGCGTTCATGAATAACTGAACCACTTTCCCCAAAACCTCCTAACAACAAATCTCTTTGCCTCTCCAGTAAACCAACAGACTTAATCCGTGTCAGAATCGAAATGGCCTTTGTTAGAGGGCAATGCCAAACATCAACATTATCATTAGTATATTTTTTAGATAACACAACAATAGAGGGGGCCCTCATTTGCGAATCTTCTGGCATGTCACTCATAGAATACTTCAGATACCCCTTCATTTTACAATACATAACCCCCCTTTTAATATTCGAATTATTTTCTGTATTTTGGTTACTTTCCGGAGGATTATAGGATAGATGCTGAAAGACTATATCACTTGTGGATAGGTAACGGTATAATTGTAGATGATGATAGAGTGGGAGATGAAACAATAATGGATGTGGCAAACGTTACTTGGGTTCGCTTGCACAGAGGTGCATGGTTCAAGTAGAAGTAGAGGAGTATACTCAAAGGATCAATTATTGCCGCATTCATGACCTTATGTTGGAGCTGTGTTTATCAAAGGCAAAAATAAATGATTTTCTTGGGATCATTCATCTCCAAAGCGATGATCTAGCTAATTGCTTAACCACCACAACATCGACAACTACTGCTCCTAAAATACGCAAACTTGCAATTCATTTGAATAGGGATGTCAAAAGAGTTGTCCTCCCTAAATTGGAGATAACTAAACATCTAAGATCCATATTGTTCTACAATTCAAGGAGTGTCAAGAACGTATGTTCAATAGAGTTGAACTCCCATTTGAAGTACTTCAAATTGCTTAGGAATTTGGATCTTGATGCATTTAAGTTGGACGAAAAGTCAGTCGAATCAATAGGCAACCTAATTAGCTTGAGGTACTTGAGCTTTAGAGGTTGTTTCATACCAAAATGGCATTCGTCTATCTGCAAGTTGAAACACTTGCAAACCTTGGATTTACAATATTGCCAGTTCAACTTAGGTGAAGTAATAGTCATACATGGAATGGAACAATTGAGGCATTTGTATAGTCCATTGAATTTCTATCTCAATGTTAAATTCAAATTTGATGGGTTAAGCAACCTCGAAACATTAGGAGGGTTTGACTCAAGATCTTGTGACGTCAATGATCTGTGTAAATTGATCAATCTTCGGCAACTAGAAAATGCAACTTTTTGGCAGATGGACAATCAGGACTTAGTGGCTTTCATCTACCTACGCATCGGTACCGACCACCTCCGACCAACATCCTTATCAGTTCGATTTTGCAAAAAAGAAGAAGAAGAGTTGACTCTTCTCAAACAACTGTTAGGGTGTCACCATCTTTACAGATTGAGTATTCGTGGAATTATTCCCGAGTTACCAGAGTACAGCCGGGGTTTCTCTCCCAACCTCATCGAGTTATTGTTGATGCGATGTAAGCTTGAAGAAGACCCTATGCCAACATTGGAGAGGCTACCTAACCTACAATATCTCTATTTAGGTGATTGTGTCTTTGTGGGGGACAAAATGGTTTGCTCCGCTAATGGTTTCCCCCAACTCAAAACCCTATCTCTCTTTGCCTTGCGGCAGTTGAAAGAGTGGGAGGTGGAAAAAGGAGCCATGCCCAATCTCTCTTCTTTAGAAATTAATTATTGCCGAGGACTAGAAATGGTACCAGAGGGACTGAGATTCATTGCTACCCTCCAACTATTTACAATTAAGGGTGCACGCGAAAATTTCAACAAGCTTCGAAGGGTCAATGGTGAAGAAGGAGAAGATTTTTACAAAGTGCGACATGTGTCTTCCCTCAACATTAGGTAAATTTCTTAATTTTGATAATTCTTTCTTTCACAAGAGACCAAACAACTAGTGGGTCTTTTATCATTTCTTTCACATCCCCCTCATTAATTCTCATCATAAAATTTGTTGATATATATATCTCTCTCTGCTTTTTTACCTTCATATTGGTTTAGGGGTGGACAAATTATTATAGAATTAAAAAAACTAAACCAAACCGAAATTATTGGGTTGGTTTGGTTTTTTTTTAATACATTGGTTTAGTTTTGAGTGTTCAATTCTATAATTCAATAGGATTGGATTAATTTTTGGTGTAGGTTCTATTTATATCGAACAAACCTGATAATCAAATCTATATATTTATTTATATTATAAGATTCAATCCATATCGGCATTGTTTTACCTAATTAGTCTATTCTAATGGACTTGATTGTAACTAATCATTTCTCACTATTTATTTTGATTTTCAGTCATGAATATTGAGAAGCATCAGAAGAAGAATGGGAAGTGGAAGAAGAAAATACTGGAAGGTAGAGTTGGAATTTACAATACTTAATTTTATTTTAGTAGTTGTGTTACTAGATTTGATTTATTTTGGTTTTATTTAAACTTGAGTTGGACTTCACTTTACTATTCACAACTATTGGCTTGTGTTAAACAATATTTATTTTATGTTTGTGTTAAATTTAAATATTAAAGACTTGTTTATTTTAATTATTTGGTTCAAGTGCATGATTCATTTAAATATGTTCTAAATTTAATATTAACTCAAACCAAACTGACCCCTTTGTTGGTTCATATCCATTAAAAAAATTAATACGAGACTTGAGTAATAAAAGCTGAGATTTTTTTTATAATAAATCCCTAATAATAAGAATTTTTTTATAAGAAAACAAACGAGCCCATAAGTTTTATTCTGAGGAGGACAACACGTGCAACAAACACAACTCAATTACTGAATAGCTAATTTTATTTTTTTAACTTTTAAATACTAATTTGTTATTTAAAATTTTATTTTTTTGAAAGTAATTTTTGGAATACTCTCATCAAAATCTATTTAGTAAGAGTTCGTATTGAATATGCAATATTGAAGAAAATGTTATGTATTTTTCGAACAATGAAATTTTTATTATCTATGAATAGAGAAATTTCATATTAAAAATTAAAAATCCAAAATTAAGTGCTACAAAATGAAAAACCATATTTCATTGTTTGTAGATTAGAAAGATATTTCATTGTCTATTGACATCAAATAGAAAATTTTAAACTAGGGGGATAAAATGCAAAATTAGCATTGGTTGCTAAAAAAATTGCGATAAAAGAGGCATTCACACTCACTATCGAAGTACAAACTTTTGTTGTGTATGGTGTTTTTTTTTTTATTCTTTTTTGTTTTATTTCGTCCTATGCTCATTAATTTGTGTTTTAAGAGAACATCATTAAGGAACTAAATGAAAACTTTTATATTTTTTTGAATTACCAATGCAATGCATATGCCATATGACCCTTCTTACAGATAAATTACTCAATTGAACATACTAAATCAAAATTTCAAATGTAAAAACAATTTGTTACATGTGGACATTTTGGTTAAGATCATGAAAGAAGGATATTTATTTTTTTAAACTGTATTTAAATCATGAACTTAAATGGTATTTAGAAAAGACAATAAAAAATCTCGATAAAATGTATATAAAATATAACTACATTTCACTTATTTTCACCCACCTTTTTCTCTTCCCTTTTATGATCTTAACACAGCCTTAATAATTTAACGAGACTTAATGGAAACACCCATGTCCAACCCTTCCTACTCAAAAACTTTTGGGTGCTAGATATCATCTTGCCAAATCTCAGGGAGGAATATGAAATTAACCTCAAGACTCCGTTAAGTTTTGAACAATATATTAATCTATACTTGCTGAAAATTTTCTTTTATAGGAATTAACCTACTAAAATTTTACATATCTCCTCATAATCTTCATGAGAATTTTTCACTAAAATTTTACAACTTAGTGATACAATCACGTATGTGCTTCCTTTTCCAAATAAAAAAGGTAAAACAGCTCTTGAAGGTAACATAATCTAAATGATCAATATATATATGTTGGGCAGCCATTTGCTAGTTACTTGTTACACCTGTGAGCAAATCAGTATAATCACAATGGAGATAAAACTTTGATCTTTACTTCGAGAACTCCATGTGCTTCATTTGCTTAATGTCAAACCCCGATTCCTTTGAACACCATCCATTACTCGGAGTCAGAATCTGATAGTGGCATCTGGTAAGCATCTTCTGGTTCTGTGTCAGTGATGGAAGGAGGACAATCTTGGTTTGACACCGCTCTCTTCTTGCGTCTCTGATTTGGTCTGTCTTCATTATCTTGGAAATTTTCATATGGTGATTGAGCAAACATAAAAAAATAAGAGGAAAATAAAAATGCATAAAACAAATATTGTTTAACATACAAAATGCTTATGCAAGTCCCACTGCAATGAATTGGGCAGTTATGTATGCATAGCAAAATTAAGATCACTGATATTTATGTTTGTTAGTTGTAATTATGTGTTAAAATAGGAATTAATATTGGAGATTACTGTCGACTGTAAATTGTCTCTACTAAGTATAAATAAAAAGTCACAAAATAGATTTGAATTGTTTTTCTTTCGTTCCTATGAGCTTTGTATGTTTGAAAAGGTTCTATTTCAATTGAGTGTGAGGTTCTTCCCCAAAGGGTGTGAGTTTCTTCCTCAATGGAAGCAAGTTTCTTACAGGTTTCTACCTTGGGAGTGGAGAACCGCATTTCTGAGTACGAAGCGTTAACCAAGAAGGAAATTTGGAAATTTTTGCTACTAAGTGAAAAGCCTGATAACTTAAGCTAAAAATGCCGATTTACCTTTGATGAGGGCAAGCTTCCATCTCTACAATGAAATTTTTTGACGTGTTAAGGAGAAAAGTATTTACATCATATTTAATTTTTAATATTTGTTTACTGTTTTAATATAAAATTCAAAATTCTAATGCCTTAAACGCCTTGAGGTTTACGCCTCTCCTCACGAGGGAAAAAATGCCTCACATTGCGCATTTGCCTTTAAAAACTTTGGTAATTAGTAGTAAGAGGTGCCAAAAGGAGAAATGTTGGCAGTGGTGCTAAAATTATTCAGATTTCGAGGGTGGGAACTATATAACACATAACACCAGCAGCCTCCAAGTAGTTCAACACGAAGTGAAACACAATTTCCTTTTCCAAATGAATCAATATGTCCTTGAAAAATGGTTGTGGATAACTGTTAAAGAAAATTATTAGAGAATATCAATGAAGGAACACAATAATACAGGAATGATTGGTGGTGAGGGAAACAAGTTCAACCAACAAGCAATAGATTCCTAACAAAGGAACAATCGTACAAGAATGATTCGTGGTGAAAGAGACAGAAAAATCCTTCTTCAGGTTTTTTTTTTTTTTTCCCCAAAAACTCCTTCAAGACACCGATTGCAAGCCCAAACATTACAGCCACACTGCATCAACAATGATAATACAATAAAAGGAAATTGCAAAGCTGGAAAATGTGAATTGTTCAATGAGATGATTCAAAGATATGCTCAAAGCTATCACTCAGTACAATAATCTGTTAGGGGCAGAAATAAAATGACAATGAATAGGCAATAACATGGTCGTCAAGAAAATAAAATAAAATAAAATAAAATAAAACAAAACAAAAGAGGCCGTTACCCACTAGGTATATGTGACTACATTTGAACTGAATGAAGGGAAACTTCGAAGAATATGTTGTGAATGGGATTTATACCACATCCCACCAATGTGAACGGAAACACACAACGCACACACCAAAGAGAAAAACAATTAGACACAGATTTTGTGATTTAGCACCAATTGCCAACATCCACGGGAGATAGATTCAACTATGAACAAAAAATAGATAATACATGTGAGATGGTTAACACGCTCAAAACCCATATCACTACTAGAATCCATGCTCAAGAGTAGTTAAGCCATTGATCACTCTAGTGCCTTATCCGTATTTTTTGTCACCCCTTACATCGCTATTTTATCCTCCTCCTAATCTCACCAAAACATAGTCTCCGTGACTATTTATAATTGTCTATCCACAAAAAACCTAGTTCCACAAAATTAGGTAACCAAAGCCTACACATTGGGTTTCCTAATAGATTCGGACTCTACTATCCTAACCCAAATACATGCTTAAACTATGTAACAAATGTATGGGACCACATATATCACATGGGTGAACTAATCCTAACAGAATAGTAATATAAGTTACTAAATTAATCAAGTAAAATATTATGCAGCCAAGACATCACATATATAAAAAATAATTACAAGGAAAACAATGATGCTGAAAAGTAAAAAAGGGAAATAAAAGAAAGGACTAATCATGAGTCAGAAGAATATAAATGAAATTACATTGGATTGGAGATGAAGATAATAGCTGGAACAAAAAATAACAATAAAAATGCTCCTGGAGCACAATCTGCCATGACTTACTTTTTTGCTCAGTTGAGTTTGATTATTTGATTGACTTGGGTGATTTGATTGGCTCCTTCGCAGCCAGATGCCACCAAAAGACATCAATGCTCCCAAGAGCAAGACTGGGCCAATCCTTGGATCTCCCAGGTGATTATCGATTCCATTCATGATGCTACCAATTCTCTGTTTCATTCCTGTCCTTTTGGATAAAATGGTTTTGGCACCTACTAACCAAATTAGATCTGCATCTTCGGGTACAAGTGCAGGAGTTTTTGCTCTCTGCGATGAGACAAAACAAAAAAGGTTTTAGCAGGCAACATCTTGTACGAAAGAGATGCAACTCTAAGCTCCAGAGTGTATACATCCTTAAAAAAAGCCACAAAGTTCAATGAGTATCAATCTAAGAAGCATGGACACTTCTAAGAACGTAAAGTGCCATGTCCGACATTCATTGAATACCTATGTAGCACGGGTGTGGGTGTGGATACTGGTGCGAGTACGCTAATCCGAAAA